CCCGATTTTCCCTTCTTCCACCCTCCCTCCTGGCTCCCCTATTTATTTTGGTCCTAGACATCGAACACTCCGGTCATCTGAAGAAGTGAGCTGTGCCCATGAAAATTCATGATACCATCTACATGTTCTGTTAAGTCTATAAAGTGCTACCAGACTATTTGTTGTTTTTTCTTGTAGATTTGTAATGCAGGATTTCCCTTTACAGAAACCATGTTGACTTTCCTCCAACAAATGATGTTCATCTATGTGCCTGACAATTTTATTCTTTACTATAGTTTCAACTAATTTGCCCAGTACTGATGTTAGACTTATTCGTCTGTAATTGCCAGGATCACCTCTAGAGCTCTTTTTAAATATTGGCATCATGTTAGCTATCTTCCAGACATTAGGTACGGAAACGGATTTAAAGGATAGATTACAAACCACAGTTACTAGTTCCCCAATTTCCCATTTGAGTTCTTTCAGAACTTTTGGGTGAAGGCAGTCCAGTCCTGGTGACTTGTTACTGTTAAATTTGTCCATTTGTTCCAAAACCTCCTTTAATGATACCTCAATCTGGGAAAATTCCTCAGATTTTTCACCTTCAAAGAATGGCTGAGGTCTGGGAATCTCCCCAATATCCTCAGCCGTGAAAACTGAAGCAAAGAATTCATTTAGTGCTCCGCAATGACTATCATCTTTAAGTGCTCCTTTAGCATCCTAATGATCCAAGGGCCTCACTGGCTGTTTAGCAGGCTTCCTGCTTCTGATGTACTTAAACATTTTAATATTACTTTTTGCCTAGCTGTTCTTCAAACTCCTTTTTGGATTTTCTTATTATATTTTTAGGTTTAATTTGACAGAGTTTATGTTCCTTTCTGTTTTCCTCACTAGGATTTTACTTCCAGTTTTTAAAAGATGCCTTTTTATCTCTCATTGCTTCTTTTATTTGGTTGTTAAGCAACTGTGACACTTTTTTGGTTCTCTCACTGTGTTTAATTTAGGGTATACATTTAGGTTGGGCTTCTATTTTGGTATATTTGAAAAGTTTCCATGCAGCTTGCAGAGATTTAACTTTTGTCACTGTACCTCTTAATTTCTGTTTAGCTAACCTCCTCATTTTTGTGTAGGTCCCCCCTTTCTAAAATTAAATTCCAGTGTTGGACTGCTGAGGTGTTTTTTTCACCTTAGGATGTTATTTTTTTTTATTATCACTATTTCCGAGCAGTCCCGTTATATTTACCTCTTTGGCCAGATCCACAGAAGGAAGCAAAATCCTGAAGTCACTGCCAAAGCACAACCTGACCTTCCTAACCACTATATTCCGGACTTTATTCAACAGAACTCCAGGTCAGCGGCAAAATACTTGTAAGACTCATAGAATACTAGAACTGGAAGTTACTGAGACATCATTAAATCCAGTCCCCTGCCCCCACAACAGGACCAAGGGGCAGGTATGTGCACTCACCCCCAAATTAAATAACCTTTCATACAATATGGTGACTCATCTGTAGCATCTTATCAAGGATGTTTTAGTCCTAGGTACCATCATTTACCAGCAGAGTATGACACAGTTTTTAATGCAAGCCCCAAAACATTCAGTTGGAAAAGTGCAAAGATTCGACTGTTCCATCTCCAAAATTCAACATGGGGAACACTAAACAGTGATCCAGAGGTGGAGTGAAAAGCTGTAGCTCAAAACCATGCTGCTTAAATTCTCGGCCCTTTTATGTGAAATAATCTTTGCTAAAAGTCTTTGCTTTTTCATCTCTCAGAATCAGCTCTCATTCTAGTAAGCAAAGCCAAGAGGTAAGGCAAAGGAAAGTTTTTAGAAAGGCTGGGAACAGAGGGGGTACCAGAAGGTGGTTCTACCCTTTGTGAATAGGGTTTCCAGACGGTTTCAACAAAAAGAAAGCTCAAATACTGGACTGTCTGGTTCAAAACCAGATACCTGGCAACCCTATTTGTGAAGAAAACAAGTGATTTAAAAAAAATGGAAGAAATGAGAGGAAAAACTGAGTTGCAGATAGTTGATAGTCTTGTGGAAATGTTGAAACATCTGATTCTTTTCAAGTGGTGTACATTCATCCTGTCAAGTTACAAAAACAAATGATTTGACAGATACACAACAAGCATACTACTGAAAGTTAGGACTCTCGTACTGTTATCATGGAAAACAGAAAAATCACCCTCTGGAGAATCTCTCTCCTTTTTCCAGATTACTCGTTCTATTGTGAACTATCATCTACAGTATCTCAGTTTAGAGGTCCTGGTTTTTGTTAAAAATGATTTGTCTTAGGCAAAAGATACTGCCTACTAAACAAGGAGGGTCACCAACAAGAGATGCTTCCATTATAGCTAGAGCCCCAGCTGATATAAGTTAGTATGCCTCCACTAACTTTAGTGGAAAATGTTCGTTTATACCCTTGGCATCAAGTTTCTCTGAAAGGAAGGAAAAAATAAGTCATTTTCAGCTCTTCCCCAGAAAACTCCAGCATTTAAGTTAGTTCTAGCAAAGTTCTGAAGAGCTAGCATCATTGTACTAGACCAGTTGCATACGTCACTAAATTATATTAGCACAAGGGGCACCTGCACTTGGCACCTGTTTCATTAGTGGTCATTTTAGCCCAACCTATCTAGGAGAAGGCCATGATTTCTAAAGTGACACTTGAGTAATTTATGCCAGTCTTCCTATTGCATTGTCTTGACATTTGGCCATAATGCAATGTCTTTCTGAGGTCTTTAATAAACTTCTGATTAAGAGATCTTCTCACCTTGCAGGCAGAGATGTTGAAAGGTCAGGCTATTTAATGAACTAAGCCTAATTTAATATGAATGCAGTATAAAATAACAAGCATGGGTTTATGCCATCTTCTGTGCCTCTTTTAATGACCCTGTTTAAGTCAGAGTCAGGTCAATGGTTTAGAAGCCATAAGAACCAGCACAGACCAATATAACCAGAGGTTACGTACCTGGTGCAGTATTTGCTCTAGTGTCTGTTCTAGATTTGAGAGCTAAACAACAGTTACCTCCAAAAATGTATGGGACCCTCCCAAGCAATGGATACACTTAAACTGACCGCTGCTGACCTGAACAGCCTCCCAAAAAGAGACAGGCAAGTGTTTCAAGTCAGCCAGGCCAAATAAGCTCTATACAAAAAAAAAAAAAAAAAAAAAAAAAAAAAAAAGAGGGAAAGAAAAAAGGACCCATCTTGGCCAAACCTCTCTCTACTACCTAGCTCTAACACATCAACTAACACACACTAAACTAAACTATATGAAAGCTACAACATGCTGAGGCAAGCACAAAGCAGACATGCTAAAGCTCCATCTCCGGCTAAGGCAGCAGCAAAGGAACCAAGGGGAGGTCACTCAGGCAACTTTGGGTGTGGGAGGAGGTTGCACAGAGCACATGAACAGGCTGAACACACCCTATCAATAGAAAAAAAGCTTACCAAGGGCTTGAGAGATGCATGCACATTTGAAGTGGAGGACCCCGTAGGGAAGCAACTCAAAAGAATGTTTTTGATATTCACAATATCTTTGATAAGTTCCCACACCATAACTATTCTTCAACTCACAGACTTGGAACTTTCCGGAAGTTCCAAAGTGTCCAGAAGAGGCTATACAAGTAGTATTTGCACGGAGAAGAGTCTGAATCAATTTGTAGACCTCGACATCTCCGCCATGACCTCTCAGTAATTCAGACGGACATTTCAAGCAGTATATTGTGCTTTTACATTGTTTTTCTAATCTAAATTGTGAACTCGCTGGAGCAGAGAACACCCTTTTGCCTCTATAATTTGTATTAGAGTGACCCTACTGATATGCTGAAAATCAAGACGACGCTGTCTGGACATCTGACTGCTTCCAATTTAAGGTGGAATTGAAGTGAGTTTGATAGTTTCAATCATATAAAAAAAGCCTCCATTTGGTCCATGCCATTCACTGTCTCTGAGTGATGGTCACATGCTAAAAGAGGCATAATTTCAGTGAGCGAAGTCTCAGACTGAAGACTTCAGGAGGAAAGTTTTCACTCACCCAGAAGATGATGTTATAGCTGAAAAGCAGATATTTGTACCAACAGCTGATTTCAGGATTAGAGTATCGGTAATAGTGCATCTTCTATACAGCAATATCTGCAGAGGAAAAAGAAAAAAAAGTCAGTTCAATGTAAAAATGCAGAACATTAAATGTGAGTTTTCCTCAGTCTCAAAAAAGCGAAGTCCCTTTTCCAAAAGTTTATATTAAAAAGGGATTGTTGTACCTTGAAATCTACTCATTGGTAAAAAAAAAGATATTTAGTAACATTTCAAATACCACACCTCGCTCCACGTCCCACTGATAATTCTTATGACTTTATAGTATTTTCTAGTTTTTAAACCACTTTCTCTCTCTCTCGCTACTGGAAACCAATAAAACTGACGATACAAGTTAACGTTGCACCCAGAAGTCCCAAGGGATTCAGGGTCCATTAAACAGACAACCCATTTTCTGCCCTCTCAGCCTCAAGACCCTCCATGCACATGCAATGACCTGGAATTTGCATGTAGGCTCCTTGTCCCTACCGGGACCAAACCTATTTTATAAGTGATCTGGAGAAAGGGGTAAAACAGTGAGGTGGCAAAATAGGCAAGTGAGACTAATCTGCTCAAGAAAGTTAAGACTAAAGCAGACTGTAAAGAGTTTCAAAAGGATCTCACAAAACTAGATGGAGATGACTGGGCAACAAAATGGCAAATTAATTTTAATGTTGATAAATGCAAAGTAATGCACATTAAAAAAAATAATCCCACCAATACGTACAAAATGATGGGGACTAATTTAGCTATACCCAGTCAAGAGAAAGAGACCTTGGAATCATTGTGGATAGTTCTGAAAACATCCACTCAATGTGCAGCAGCAGTTTAAAAAAAAGGCAACAAAATGTTAAGAGTCTTAAAAAGCGACGAGGAAGGATACCTTCATAGATAAATGAGACCAAGAGCAGGTGGCTAGAGGTTCGAATGGTGGTTTTGTCATGCTTTTCAGAACATGGTTCAAGTCCCAGTCGGGGACTGGTGGACGGACGAGAGGAAAGGTATTCTGTAGGCCCTTGAAGAAGTGTTTGGTCAACGGGTTAGCGAGGAAAGCAACGCCATCCGTGGGATGGTGAAAAGCAGCTATGGCGGCGGCGTGGACCTTGATATTGCTGAGTGCTAGGCCCGACTGTTTGAGGGATAGTAAGTAGTTCAGTAAGGTAGGTAAAGGAGCGAGCTCTGCATATGTTCAACCATACCAGTGAGAGAATTGATTCCATTTGTACAAGTTCTTCTAGTGGAATGTCTTCTACTGTTAATCAGTATGTCCTTCACCTGTTCCGAGCAGGTAATCTCGGCATCCTGGAGCCATGAAAGAGCTAGGCGTGGAGATGGAGCTTGAGAACGTCTAGATGGAGAGTCCACCCGTGGTTCTGCAACAGAAGGTCGTGGTGAAGAGGGAAGGGATGAGGGTTCATCACTGCCATCTTGAGGAGGCAAGGATACCACGTCTATCTGGGCCACGCAGGTGCCACTAGTATGACCCGCGCCTGGTCCGTCCTGATCTTGTGGAGGACTCTATGTAGGAGCGGGAAGGGGGGAGAACACGTAAAGAAGAGGGGCATCCCATGTGATCGAAAAGGCATCGCCGAAGGAATGTTTCCCCAGGGCTCCTTTGGAACAGTAAAGGTGGCATTTCCTGTTGTTTTTCGTGATGAAGAGATCTACATCTGGTTGGCCCCAGCGAAGGAAGAGTGGAGCTAGGGCACGTTTGTTGAGCTCCCATTCGTGTTGGCCCTGGAATGTACGACTTAGGGCGTCCGCTGTGACGTTGAGTACGCCCAGAAAGTAAACAGCCAAAGGGGTGACCCTGCGTGTCGGGCACCAGTTCCAGAGCTTGATAGCTTCCGAACACAGTTGATATAGTACATGCAGGTGGTATTGTCCGTCATGATGATAATGGACTTGTGCGCTATATATTGACTGAAATGTTGGCATGCATATCTGACCGCCCGTAACTCGAGGAGGTTGATATGGAAGGTTTGCTCTGTGAATGACTATTTGCCTTGGGCTGTGATGTCCCCTAAGTGGGCCCCCCATCCCACGAGTGAGGCATCTGTTATAACTGAGAGTGGAAGGTGGATGCTGGAAAGAAATGCCCTGTAATATGTTTTGCAGAGTTGTCCATCAAAGCAGGGAGTTGATGATGCGTGGAGGAATGACCGAGTTTGGAAAGTTGGTCTCTGGAAGGCTTGTAAACCGTCGTGAGCCAACACTGAAGAGGTCTCACATGGAGTCTGGTCAATTTGACAACGTAGGTCGTGGAGGCCATGTGCCCGAGGATCTTGAGGCAGTTGAGGATCGTGACAGTTGGAACCGAATCTGCCACGCGGATAAGGTTGTGTATGGTAGCAAACCTGTGCTCGGAAAGCGTATCTCTCGCTGTGACAGTGTCAATGAGGGCGCCTATGAATTCTAGCCTCTGCATTGGCAGGAGGGTGGATTTTGTGTAATTTATGTGAAACCGGAGGCTGAGTAGAAGGGCTATTGTGGTGTCTCATGGCCTTTGTCTCGTCAAAGGACGCACCTTTTATGGAGGCAATCATCTAAATACAGGAATATTATGATCCCTTGATGCCGAAGTGAGGCCATTACGACTGCCAGGGTTTTGGAAAACACCCTGGGGGCAGTCGAAAGGCCAAATGGGAGCACGCGGTATTGCTAGTACTGGGTGCCTACTGTAAACCGTAGAAAATGTCTGTGAGCAGGATGAACTGTAATGTGAAAATAGGCATCCTGGAGGTCGAGAGCCGAAAGCCCATCACCTTGATCCAGTGTAGGAATGATTGTTGTGAGAGTGACCATCTTGAAACGGTGGTATGCAATGTATTTGTTGAAGCACCTGAGGTCCAAGATGGGTTGCCACCCTCCCGTCTTCTTCTGGGTAAGGAAGTAAGTTGAGTAGAAACCCCGGCCATGGAATTGTGGTGGAGAACGGTTTCGTGAGAGGGGTCCCTGAAGAGGGATGGGGTAGGAGGGTGGTTGGAGGGAGGGAAGTAAAGGGGCTAGTGTAACTGAATTGAATCAGTTCCAGGACCCATTTGTCCAAAGTGATGAGAGACCATTGGTGGAAAAAGGCCCGGAGGGGATGGTAGAACTGAAGAGTATTGGTTGGCAGTAGCAGTGGATTGGCTTCCTGGCTCTCGACCTGACCTTCAAACCTGCTGTTTGCTCAGTGGTGGATTAGTCGAGAGGTGTTGCTGTCATTGTTGTCTATGCTGCTGAGTTCTTGGTTTCGGGCGGAAATCATATTTAGGCTGCTGCCTGAAAGGCTCTCTCAGGCGCTGGTAAAGGCTGGTACCTAGTTCTCTTAAATGGAGGAGTGTACATTCCCAGGGTCCTGAAAGTAGTACGGGAGTCCTTCATGGAATGCACCACTTCATTGGTCTTAGCTGTGAAAAGATTAGTTCAGTCAAAGGGTAAAGTCTAAACCCATGGTCCCCAACCCGGTGCCCGCGGGCGCCATGGCACCCGCCAGGCCCTTTACGTGCACCCGCAGAGCAATCTGGGCTGGCCCCGCCCCCGGGCGTGCAGCAGGTGCCAGCCCCGGGCGCATGGCCGGCCCTGGCCCTGGGTGCACTGCGCGTGCACTTGCCAGCTCTCGCCCTGGGCCC